GGTTTCCCCCCCCCCCCCCCCCAAGGAGTCTGAGGACCTTTAATGAGTATTGTATCCTGTCTTTAATTCCAGTGACAGTCCCATTTATTGTAACTTTTTCCAGCAGTTAATCAGTATGTCTACATAGCTAAGTTCTGAGTTAATGTTCCTTGTATAGATTGGATGTGACATTGACAATTCCTGGTCTCTTAAGAAAAAGCTCTTAGTAAAATAAACATAAAACAAAATAAAACAATGTTTTTCACATTTAAAAAAATCTGAATATTTCCAATATTTTGGGCTCTGTGGTTATATGATTAAAATCTGTTTGAGACCATTCTATGAGCCATATGTGGAAAAAAAGAAATTCTCATTATTTACCATCACCCTGATACATTCACTTTGATCCAGAATCACCCTTTCATTACATTTTTTCATAGATATTCAGAAAATTCTGGTCTTCTTTTCTTAATCCTCATATCCAAATGTCCCCACCATTTAATAAGGGTTTACAAATGTGTAATCACTGCTCGCTTGATTCTTTCTGTGTATAACTTCTATATAAAGAACCAAATTTAAAATAAATAGAGGCAAGAAAATTCTTGTTCAAGATATCCCTAGAAATAAATTCTGAGACCTTTAAGTACTTGAGGGGATTTTTCGAAAAACTCCATACCATAAGTGATAGGCAGATGTTTCCCATATGTTGTTTGCAGATGAGTCCCATAGCTTAAGTCATTTTTTTCTTCTTTAGGTTTTGCCATTTTAAACCCAGTTGTCTATACAAATCTTTGAGGCAAATCACATGTGACAAACAAGCTGAGTCTAAACCTCCCTTGATATAGTGCAGAAATTGAGGATCTAAATTTGGATTGCTACTTTTCTAACTATTCATAAAAATAAGGCATAGCCTCCATATGTCAGTTGTCTAAATCAGGCCTCCATATCTCTCAGGAACATGAATACATTCCTCTGCACTATTTTTTTGGTTCAGTTTCATTTAGATCCATGCTTACAGCACTGCTTAGTTTTTATTTAAACAGCATCCAAATGCTGTTTCTCAACAGGAATTCTTTATCGGAACTGTTTCCTCCACAAGGGTGTGGTCTGGTTACTGTCAAATTCTCTTTTCCCCAGGGCGCACTACTCAGGAAAAATTTTCGTTAGATAATAATGCTGATCATATCATAAAATATTCCCTTTTACCGAACCTGTTTAATACTTTAGTGACTTTTCAGAATAAGGCACCATGTTATTTTAAGCAGAGGATTTGGCCATCAGCCTGTGCTGTTTAATATGTGAGGTAGTGCAAAATTTATCACATTGATAATAATATTATTTCTATGGCTCATGGACTGATAAAATCATCATTCTTGTTATTGTTCCTTCAACAGGTAACGCCATGCTGTTGAGGGTTTTACCTGCCGTGTATGATAAGCAGCCTCAACCAATTAACAGACACCTCACAGAACTCCTAGGCTTGATGTCTCGACTGGAACAACCAGAACAGTACCATCTTCTACGGCTTTTGCATGTAGCTGCAAAGAGGAAGCAAATGGAGGTAATATTAAGTACAGCATGATCCACACAGAAACGTTGCTGCTGCAAGCCATGTGTTATACCAAGATTCGTGACCTCCAGAGGAGAGGATTTTGGTCTGGGGTCAGAGATGAGACTTGACTACTTGGAGCGTTTTCTGCAGCAAAGTTTTATTAAAGTATAACAGAGATGGGGAAAGCTTCTGACATAGATATCAGAAGGGGACAGAAAGAGTGACCCCTTGCTAGTTTTTAGCAAGGTGTTTTATGTCTGTTAGAAAGCTATTAATTGGATAAGAGAGACACTCAAGGCTGAGAGTATGCATTTTTGAGATAGGATGGCAGGAGGTGCATCATAAAACAATTGACATGAATACTGGTTTGTTGAGCCGGTTCTCAGCCCAAGGTTTGAGAAAAGAAAAAAAGTAGGGGGAACCGTTTTGAAGAAAGGCAGATTCCAAAGCCAATACATAGTTTCATTACATAGCTTAAGAAAAACATTTCTATAAGGAAAACGTATTGGTTAGCTCAAGGCAGAACCAGGTGTCCTCAACACAGAATTAAAAGAAGCCTCTCTTAATTTTGTGTAGAGAAGGAAAAAAATGTCTGCCACTTGCAATTTATTTCCTCCCGCCTGTTACCCTCTCATCACAGCTGGGACTATTTAGATGCATGTGTCATCTGGAAACATGCTCACAGACACCCTGAGAATGATGTTTAATCAGATACTGGGTATCTATACTGGGTACCCTCTGACCCAGTGTAGCTGACCCACAAAATTAACCACCACAGGTCCAATAACACAGACACACCAAGTGTGCAAATCTGTAGTCACTGCAGAACAGCTTTCATGAAAGTTCGTGTGGTCATACAGTCCTTGGGATCTACAGTCTCTCAGATGGACCCCTGGGGAAGACCTGCACCTGTCTTCACGTATGGGGAAATCAGCCTGTAATGAGAGCGAAAGCTCACCTCCTAGACGGCAAATTAGTGATTCTCTGAGTGCGTGCCAAGCCTCTTCTGACCCTTTGTGACCCTGTGGACTAAAGCCTGCCAGGCTCCTCTCGTCCATGGGATTCTCCAGGCAAGAATACTTGGGTTGTCATTGGGAAGGTAGTGGGTTGCTATTCCCTTCTTCAGGAGATCTTCATGTCCCAGGGATCGAAGCCAGATCTCCTGCATTGCAGGCAAATTCTTTACCATCTGAGCCACCCAGGAAGCCCACTAGCACCATAATAATTAGGTTGCATCTGACTCTCAGCAACCAAACACCCAACCCATGCTGGTTTAGACAATAGAAGGAATGCATTAGTGCATGCAACGGGGAAAAACCTGCAGATGAGACTTGATTAGGGGCTCAAGTATGTGAGCAGAACAGCTTCTCCATCTCCATTTCTCAGATTTTTGATTTCTCAATGTTGGCTTCCATGTTCTGTAGGTTTTCTCCTTGTGGCTTCTGGATGGGAGTCGGGGTTCCCTAAGCCGTATGCTTCTCCCTCCATGACTGAGGACCAAAGTCCTGAGAGTCTTTGTTTCAGACCCTTGCTCTATCCCTGGAGCTTCTCCTGAACCCTGAAGATACTCAGAAACTAGAGGCTACTGGGAAGGGGGAAGTGGAAGTGGATTCTAGCAGGCACGAGCACATGCGCACAGGACAGATTAATGCTAAGATCAAGGTTGTATCAGTTACGGCTGCATCTTTGCTTCATTTTCATGTTAATATCAATATCCACCACTTGAAAAGCAACACCAAGGTGAAAACTGGAACATTTGAATTCAATGTCAAAATTCAAAGAAAGGCAGACAAGGTTGATTATATGTTTAATTAACCACAATAGACTGTAAGCTCCTTGTGGTAAGGCATGATTTCTTCCTCTGTATCCCACATCTTGTTACAGTGTCTGATAGTACTCAATAAAGATTCATTAAACTAAACTGAATTAAAGAGGGTGCTAAGTGCTCTACAAAAGACAGAAACAGATTTTTAAGAAAAGGAGGGTGAGAGAAAAAAAAAAAAAGATTGAGAGGACTTCCCTAGCAGTCCAGTGGTTAAGACTTGGCACTCCTAATAAGGTGGCATGGGTTTGATCCCTAGTCTAGGAACCAGGATCCCACATGCCTCGGGCCCGGCCTCCCAAACAAAGGTATAAACAGAGATGGGGTGGCAGTGAGTTCTGCCTTAGGGGAAAATAGGTGCCATGAAGACCCACAGAGGGAGTAGCTTGAGGCCAGACCTTGAAGTTTTGTGTCAGGTTGCGGAGAGAGGCAGATGGCCTTTAAGAAATGAGGACTGGGTTGGGAGACCTGGATGTGAGAGGGCAGGCTTGGGCCCCATCCCCAGAGGTTTCAGTTCAGTAGTTCTAGGATGGGGTCCCCAAGTCTGCTCTTTTACAAGTTCCCTGGCGACGCTGCCCCTGCTGCTTCAGTGACCACGCTTAGAGCAGTCAGGCTAGAGGTCAGGCAGAGGACTGGGCGCCTCTCTGTTACCTGGTACACTTTTTCGCTTTTGCCCTGAGAACAATATATTGTAGTCATTTTTTCCATGTCTTTCTCTCCCAGTGCACCTTCAACTCCTTGAAGAGCACAGCATCTGAGTCTGCATATTTGTATGAACGCCCTACCATAGTGCCGGGCACATAGTAGGGCTTCAATAAAGTGTTGTTGAATTTGGAAATGAAAAAATGAACAGAAGAGATCAAAGAAAGTAAAGACCATGAAAATAAGTAAAAGGATGTGTGTGGTCTTCAAAGAGGGAAAGTGACTCAACAGGGTCATGATCTAGGGACTTAAAGGAAATTGGAGATAGGAATTCACCTTGGCTTTGGGGGCTGGAGACCCACTAGTGACTCATGAGAGGCCGTGGGCTGCAGGGGTGAAGTGGGGAGTGGAAGACCTCTATTATGGATTGTGTGTGGAAGGGAAGTGTAGGAAATGCCTGCATGGGTGTTGGAATTTAGAGGAAATAAGGAGGGTTTAAAAATATCCAGTAAGAATAAAGCGATTGAAATTGTGGCAGAAAATATTAGATAGAACAAGCTAGAGGTAGCCTGGGAGTGAATTCCAAGCACAGATGGAGAAACGAATTTCAGAAAGGATTAAGGACAGAAAGGATGGACAAAGCTACAGCAGAGTCTGGGCAGGGAGTGGAGTTAAGGGATCACTAGACCACGCAAAAGAAAGCTCAGAGTGAGGGGGACACAGACAGGGTTGTGTTCGTTTCCTGTCTGCTGTAACATTACCACAAATGTAATGGTTTAAAACAACACAAACTTGTTACCTTACAGTTCTGGAAGTCAGAAGTCTAAAATGGGTCTGCAGGCTTGCGTTCCTGCCGGAGAATCTAGAGAAGAGTGTTTCCTTGCACTTTCCAGCTCCAAGAGGCTGGCTCATGGCTTGCATCGCTGTCACTTCTACTTTTCCATCATGTTTTCCCTGACTCCGACTCGCCTTCTTCCCTTTACAGAGGCCCTGTGATTACATTGGGACCACCCAGATGATCCAAGATTATCTTGCCATCTCAAGACCCTTAACTTAGTCACGTTTACAAAGTCCCTTTTTCACAGGTTCCAGGGATTAGAATGTGGACGTCTTTGGGAAGTCGTTATTCTGCCTACCACAGATAGAGACTGAGGGCCAGGTGATGTGGGGAATAGAGAAAGGTGACTCGTAGGCAGGACCTGGTTTCAGAAAGGAGACAGCTGGGTATGCCATTTTATCTGCAGCCTGAAAGCAAAAGCTAAACAAACACAGTTTGTGGAAGGGCAGGTTCAATACAGTTCAAGGAGGATCTGCAGAGATAAGCTAATTCAACTGATTTCCCATGGGATAAAGGTGGTAAATGAAACCAGGAGGGCGCTCACTTATAGGAAGGGGCTTGACCCGAAAAGGTAAGGTCCAAGAGTGATGGTGGCCCCTTGTATGGCTTTCAGAGAGGTCCCAGCAGACCACTGGTTACAGGCTCTCTATGGCTGTCCAGAGACTTGGGAAAGGGCTTAGGAAGCTATTTAAAACTAGGCCCCTGACTGTTGCTTGGCCTCCCGTGTTGTTCACTCAGTCGTGTCTGACTCTTTGCTACCTCACAGACTGCAGCACGCCAGGCTTCCCTGTCCTTCACCATCTCCCTGAGTTTGCTCAAACTCATGTCTGTTGAGTCAGTGATGCCATCCAACCATCTCATCCTCTGTCACCCCCTTCTCCTCTTGCCCTCAATCTTTGCCAGCATCAGGGTCTCTTTAACCCTTAGACCTCGAACAAGTATCCAGTCTCAGGGATCACAGGTGGGCATTCTCTATCAGGCACTGAGTTTTTATGTATATGTGATGTTCTCCACCTAGAGTGATCTTCCCTCACCAGCACCACCCTTTGTGAGCTTACAATTACTTAGATGTGGCTTTCTTGCCAGCAAGACTCTCTGACTCTTTTCTTACCCCTAATCCCTGACGCAGCACATTTCACGCTGCCATGAAATTTGTCTCTGCTGTTCTCTTTCCCTCTGGACCACCTTGAAAGTGAAAGTGAAAGTCGCTCATTTGTGTCCAACTCTTTGCCATGGAATTCTCCAGGCCAGAATACTAGAATACTGGAGCAGGTAGCCGTTCCCTTCTCCAGAGGATCTTCCCAACCCAGGGATCTAACCCAGGTCTCCTGCATTGCAGGTGGGTTCTTTATCAGCTGAGCCTCCAGGGAAGCCCAAGAATACTGGAGTAGGCAGCCTATCCCTTCTCCAGCAGGTCTTCCTGACCCAGGAATCAAACCAGGGTCTCCTGCATTGCAGGTGGATTCTTTACCAGCTGAGCTACCAGGGAACCACCTTGGCTGTGATACAAATGCTTGAGACATGAGGACTACCTTGTCCGTTACTGTGTCCCCAGTGTCTGGCATAATATCTGGCACAGAGAAGTCACCCTGTGAATATTTCTTAATGCAGATGAGATAGTATTAGTGCCTAAATTTGCAGAGGATTTATCATTCACAAAGGATTTTTGTTTTAGCATCTAATATCTCACTTAATGCTACCAATAAC